TGAACCGAACAGTTGCAACTTCTTACACTCTGATCTAGCTTCTTTTGTTATCTGATTTTCTAAACTACTTCTCTGTGGCTACAGCTAAGGATGAGCTGTATAAGTGTTGTTAAGTCAAGTAGAAAAAAGAGATAGTGGAAGAGAACAGATGACCTTAGAGACAGCATCCTTTCAAAATTAAGAGGACTACAACTGACACTATTGAAAAAAGTTAGTCAGAAGAACCTTTCTTCAGCTTTAAACTAGAATCCTTAAGTAGAACTACCTCATGCCATTTACACAATCAAATATGTCTAAAGATACGCAAAGCTCAGTTTTAAAGACAGAGATCACATCTATGAAAAAATGAGGTTTTCACAGATTAGGTCTAGATTTTGAGGCAGCACTTTTATTCTTTATCCATATAGCTCCTAGACTTCCATTCTATGTTTTCACACACTTACAGCCTTCGCTTCCACACTTTAATCCAATATTGCACACAAAGATATGAATCCCAATATCTCATTCTTGCATTCAGTTTCCAAAACATAGCCTGAAGGAAAACTCTGGAAAGTTAAAACAAGGCAGAAATTTTAAAAGCTGTCCCTTGCCTTTTTAAATGCTGGCTTTCAAGTTCTCTGTAAATACTTCTGTGTATTTCATAACCAAAGTTATTGTTACCCTTGTCAGCTGAGGTTTTTCATTGATTACTCTGAAAATCTCTTTTAACAATAAAAAATAATGAAAAATTTGAGCAAATACTAGTATATTCTAGAAGGAGATATGGCGGTAATAGGCATGTATCTTCACGTGTCATATAAAATAAGCTAAAAATAAATTAGTATTCAATAAAGGCTCAAAGAATCATATAACGATGTAAAATTGTGAAATTAAATGCAAATATTTTTATGAGCAGGCAGTTTCAAACCAGCAGACTGAAACCTCTTCCAACAAGGTACGAGGTCAAACATTGTTTTCATCTATATTGGCACCCTGCCATATTCCAAAGCTGAGTAGGCCTACCTAGTCACCACACACTTTCTACCAGCCACTTTCTACTAATTGCAAGACAGTGACATTAATTGTAACAGCCCTAATGAAACTACACCAAATATGCCCTGTATATGGCTGTAATGCAGCTCTCTCCCTTCTCCACCCATGCCGAGTTTTCTGCAAGCAGTAAGGTCTCTAAACCCACCTCAAAATCCCTTTTTATCAGAGATTGACTCAAGTCTGAGTACTGAGTACTTCAGCACGTGTTTAAGTTGCCTTGTTAAACAATTTTTTTTTTGAGTCAGTTAAGTATCTATTCTTAGTAAAATAATTCGACAAGCTTCATTCACAAGGGCTAAGTTTGATCAAATTAGTTCTCACTGTATATAACAGAATAGGTTATTTAGAAAGTCACTATAGTTTAGCTATATCTGAGTCCTTATTAACAGACTTATCACCTTTTTATGAAAATTTAAATTGCGTTCGAAAGAGTGATTTCCCAAAACTTAGTAGCTTCACCAGTTCACAAAGAATGCAGTAGGCACCTGTCCCCTGTGGTGTGCCACTAGAGTACACGAGGTGGAGGAGGAAAGGCAGTATCAGAGAGTTCTCATCGTGTCCCCTTGGTCCCTGAGTTATGAGTTACAGTGCAGGATTCCCCTGTTACCTTCTTTGATGGCTCTGGTATAATGATTCCTTGTTTCATTCTGAATGTAGATAAACAAAACCACAGAGATGATTTTTCACACTGTGCAACCCAAAATAAAGCTAATTATGTGGGAGGAGGAAAAGAAGAGTTTTGCAAGGGATTAGTCATCTGGCAACACAGGGTTACCCTACTCTTTCTACCATTTCTCAAAATAGCAGAGGTGATCAGAATATTTTGGGAGCATAGGTAACCAACTTGCAGATAGAAAAATCTTGAGGCTTTAAAGTATGGTTCTTACATCTGCACTTTGTCTCTTTTTTCCTATTAAAAAGTATAAAGCCAAATAAAACAGTTTATTTAAATAAAAGGCAGCTAAAAACCATTACTTCCCAAAGAAAATCATATCATACACTGTGAGGGATTTGGAGAAAACAGTCCAAATATATTCTTGTGTTTTGAATTGCCAAGGGGCTTCTGCTGTACTTTTTCATACTAAATTAAGAAAAAACTCCTGTTAGTCTTATGGAGTCCTGCTCCTGTAACACATTCAACAGATGTCTTCTATTAGGAGGAGAACGCCTGTTAGGTGTAAGTCCTGTCTAGTCAGACTTCTTTAAACATGGACATATATGGGATGCAGATACTTTGCCAGGATTAACTCTCTCCCTTTTTGTGATGGAACTTCAGTGAGAATTTACACAGGAATGAGATACAAACCTGCGGAAAAAAAGAAATCTTTCTAGAAGACATAAAATATTAAGGGAAGTAAATATCCATTAGTAAGGTTCCCTTTGTAATTTCAACAAAGTAACTTGAAAAAATACATGAAACTGAAAACATAATTTTTGGTTGACTATTTACATTTAGATAAACAAAAGCACATTTTTTACAGTCAAACTTCAGTTAGCTCCAATAACATTACGTGTTGCAGCTAACTTGTAGCCCCCTGAAACTTAAACTCAGACCTAGAGTCTCAATAGTATTTGTGGATGCTGGGCACCTCAGAACAGAACCTAAAACAAATAACACAGAAGCAGCCAGCTCAAAGCAGTTATTAGCAAGGCTATAAGGAGGAAAATACATCCTTGAACATCTCTATTGCCTAAATTGTCCCTGACACGCTTCTTTGCTGTCAAAGAGCTAAGAGGGATTTCATGTCTTCTTCCAAAGAAATACTAAGAAGGCAATCCTTCCATTTTTTTCCTGATTAGTGCACGCACGTGCATGCACACTCAAACACCCCTTGTGAATGGTGGGAAGACTTCCCTTTGTTCTTCAGTCTGAAAGGGCCTCACTTGCACACACAGACACGCATGCTTTAGAGTGACTCCAGTAGTTCTCTAAGAGTTGTTGCTTTGCAAGAAGAAACAACACTCTT